CATTAACAAAAAGGGCGCCTCTCTGTTGCTTGGCGGGAAAGCGAAGTTCTTTGTAAATCTTTTTCAGCTGCCACGTGTCGTAAAAACACCACATCAGCGGCAACAACAAAATAAGGCGGTGCAGTTTTTTTAGGATGGCTCCTTTAGGATGTGTATTGATTACCGTTAGTTGAATAAGGTCACCATAAAGAATAATTACCCCTTCTTAGAATTGATGACCCTCATCCCCTACCTCCTCTCGCAGGGCGCCTCTCTGTTGCTTGGTGGCAAAGCGAAGTTCTTCGTAAATCTTTTTCAGCTGCCACGTGTCATAAAGACATCACATCAGTGGCAGCAACAAAATAAGGCGGTGCAGTGTTTTTTTCTACGCGTGCGAATCTAATTCAATTGGGTTTGGGTTTGGGTTTCCTAATTTGTTTTGGTTTCTATATCTATATATTGGGTCCCTCTCCCCCTCCCCCTCCCCATGCTTTTTCTTTTTTCCTTTTTGCAGAAGCTGATGTACCAATATGGTTAATTTTTCAGGTTGCGGATGTGAAGAAAAACATAGAATCAGTTCAGGGGCAAGATGTCTACCCTGCTGCACAACAGATGCTTATCCATCAGGGTAAAGTTCTCAAGGACGCTACGACGCTTGAGGAAAACAAAGTTGCTGAAAATAGTTTTGTGGTGATTATGCTTTCCAAGGTAGTGACTGTACAACAAGCATGTGTTGAGCAATAAGCTTTTCTATTGTTTGGCTGTGAGTTGTGCAAGTGTGTCTTTTTACATCTTGTCTAATACTGGTACTGTCCATATTTTTTGTGCTAATTGTAGAATAAGGTCTCATCAACTGGAACCTCATCTATACCAGCAGCTCCTTCAAATACGGTGAGAGCTTAATTGCCTTCATGGGTTCAGGTTGTTCTTGCTTGCTTGCATCACTGCCTCCTTCCTTTTTGCTTTCAAAATAAAATATTTCTTTGTTTAAGATGCATTTATGCACTTTTATCCATTGGCTGATATGGCGATGTTTACCCCTGGTTTTATGCTTGAGAGTTGAGACTACATTTAAGTCTTTTTCTAAAATAAGGTTTTAAGTCATTTTTGTAACATGATTTATTGCGGAAAGAGAATAAGGGCATTAGTGCCTTGCAGAATGGCCATATTTTCATTCTCTTGTAAAGTATCATTTCACATGCCATTCCTGTGTAGCAAGTGTAACAATATTTTATTTGAACAATTGAAAGATAGTTATGTTAATCTAGATTTTGAGAGCTGATATTAATCTGAATGACTAGGCACAACCTGCTGGTTCCACTGACCAAGCTAGACAGACGATAACAGCACCTCAAGCTACTGCTGCACTGTAAGTTTCTCCTCCTGGTATCTTTGATTTCCTCACTGGTCGTCTGTACTTGAATTTTTGTTGGTTTAGTCTTAAGATTTGCTTGCTCTGCAGTCCACAATCTGCTTCTGAGTCTGCTCCTGCTTCTGCCCCTGTGCCTGCTGCTGCTGCTAGGTGAATACATACGACATGCTTGGTTTAGGGAATTGGCTTTTGCTTATATTCATCCTTACTGTGTGATTAGTCTCGTCTTTATTCGAGTATTATTCCTTTCTGTCAAACAGTTCTGTAACAGATGTGTATGACCAAGCAGCATCAAACCTTGTTGCTGGAAGTAACTTGGAGACCACAGTTCAACAGATTCTTGATATGGGTGGGGGAAGCTGGGATAGGGATACAGTTGTGCGTGCTTTGCGTGCTGCATTTAACAATCCAGAGAGAGCTGTTGATTACTTGTATTCTGTGAGTCTGCAGCTAGCTTTGCTTTTGTGACCTTTCTTCGTGTTCCTTTTTTGCACCTCATTCCTGGTTAGATTTTGCTAAGAGGTAAATTCAAATTTATGCTACGTTGGTGGTGCAAGAGCATTGGCATATCATGTAGTTCAGTGTTTGATTTATTCCCTTTCTGCATGACCACTTCCCTTTGCTATCTTTGTATTCTTCTCTTTTCCTGGCTTCTGTCTTCCAAACAATTGAGGATATTTTTCTTCCAATATTTCCCAGTTTATTGGTTAAATGATGAATCCAGTTGTCTGGTTAATGTGAGAGTGATGCAGGATTGATTCACCTTCTTCATGCTAGTACCTTGGAGAGAACCTTCTCTCCTTTTTCTTCAATTTGTTCATTGCTTTTTGATAATGAGTTATTCCCTCTATTTGATTTACATAACGGTGTTTGATTGGACATGGAATTTAAAACATTCATTTAATTTATGTAATATATATTAGTCGCAGTGGAGGAAAATTGTAGAGTGTCATCTGTCTACTAGAGAGGAAGTTCACTGTAAAAAACCAGCTTCTAAAATTCCCATCCTGTCATCTGTATAAACAAGGGTTTCCTTGCTGTGTGCCAATCATACACATTAAATGGCAAATTGTTCTTATTGTGTAGCATTGAATTTTTTCCTGCTCCTCAAATGCCCTTCCATTACATTTTTTCCAGGTCACCCAAAATATGCACTCTTAAACCTTGTGCATTGCATTGCAGTTATAGTTTATTCATCCCTAGAGCTTCATATCCATTTAAACCTGTTTTGCTTAGGAAATGGTACTGAATTCATGAAGTAAGAAAATATAATTATATGATCCCTGTTTGTAGTCTTATTAAGGCAGACATGGGTATGCCTTTTATTTTCTGTGCTTGCATCTTTGACCTATACTGGAAACACATCAATATCAATTTCTTTCAGGGTATTCCTGAACAAGCTGAAATTCCGCCTGTTGCCCGTACACCTGCTGCTCCTGCTGTTACTGCTCCTGCCAGTGGTCAGGCTATAAACCCTGCAGCTCAGGATGCTTCACAACTAGCAGTTCCTTCCAGTGGACCAAATGCTAATCCTCTAGATCTGTTCCCTCAGGTAGTAAATATACCAGAAACTTAAATTTGCCTAGTTACTTGTTGTGACGTTAACCTAAATTTGTATTTACGCAATCAGGGCTTAACAAATGCTGGCTCAAATGCCGGTGCTGGAAATTTGGATTTTCTACGCAATAGTCCACAGGTGGGTTATACGCTTTCTGCAAGTTAGATTTTATTAGTTTGAAATCACAATTTCATATCCTTCTCCATTAACAGTTCCAGGCCCTTCGAGCAATGGTGCAAGCCAATCCGCAGATATTGCAGGTATGGGATATTATATGCTATGATCAGTTTGTTTGCTCCTAGCATTTCCAGACATGCTTGAACCATGATGTTTGTTATCTGCAGCCTATGCTCCAGGAGTTGGGTAAGCAAAATCCACATTTGATGCGGCTTATTCAAGAACATCAACCGGACTTCCTGCGCCTCATCAATGAACCTGTTGAAGGGGAGGGGTAAGAGCATTTGCTATTCTTCTTCTTTTGATTTGTGATGGATCTATTTTTCTACTAAAAGTGCTTTGAGTGGACTGCATTTAAGAGCTGGTTTTTTGTGTTCTATCTATTCTAGATCCTTTCTTTACCACCTTGTGTCTGAATGCGAGACTGATTTTCTCATTATATGGTGTATCAGGAATGTGTTAGGGCAGACAGCAGGAGCAATACCACAAGCTGTGACTGTTACACCTGAAGAGCGGGAGGCTATTGAGCGTGTAAGTTATTTATTTGTCCTTCATCAAATAAAGTTTTATGTAAATGCAATTATCGACGGTTTAATGTGAATGCCTTTACTTTGATATCTCAAAATGCTGATGGGTCGCTTTGCAAGTTTTTTTTTAGTGAGCTAACATAATTTTCTTGTACTTGTCCACTGTGGTTGGTGATATTGTTTTGGCAGCTTGAAGCTATGGGATTTGATCGAGCTTTAGTATTGGAAGTATACTTTGCCTGCAACAAAAATGAGGAGCTGGCTGCTAACTATCTATTAGATCACATGCATGAGTTTGACGAATGAGATGGATATAACATAGTGCTATTGACCTGTTATAGTTTCCATTATTAGTTGTTTTGCTTCTCTTCATTTTAAATCTGCGCGACTTCCTATTTATCTTGCCATGTGGAGTACATTTTATTTCCTCATTGGCAGCGGCTAGCCTTGGATACTCGGCCCCTTTTGTATAATGGATCATATTATATCAGTCAAGTCGTCCTGCAAGCTCTTTCGTCCTTGGATACTCGGACCCTTTTGTATAATGATTCATATTATATCAAGTCAAATCGTTCTTGCAAGCTCTTTCGTCTTTCCTTAAAGCTAGGTATCTTTTTTCTCTTTTCTCTTTTGATTTGGATGGCGGCGGCTATGGCCAAATCGATTTCTTGCCTTGTACTAGGTGTCTTTTGTGTTTAATTTACAGGTGAACTTAATATCCCTAGTTGAAAAAAGTCCCTTGTCTCATGCCTCAAATGCTGAAAGTTCCGTCGGTTTCTTTTTACATGGTTGTTCTAAAACTTCACAATAGAGGAAGAGTTCTGCAATTTCTTTTCGTTTCCCCTTGGTGGGTTGAGATCTAGAAGTGTCAACTCAATCAACTATGTTGGAAGTCGGAGCCATAAATATATTTCTTAGACATTCATTTGTCAAGTGAATCAAGAAAAAAGTGAAAAAAACCAAACCAATCATGTTGAAAGAGTCAGCACAAAATAGCTGTTGAACTGGGTTAATAAACAGGAAAACGTCTTTATTAAAAAGTAAACAGGAGAAAGTGTAAAAAGACTGCTTAGGTCTCTTTCAGCACTACCTAGTCCTTTTAACAATTTGGCAAATGGAACATCAGCGATTCAAAGTATTAGTGAATATGGAAAATGACATCTTCCAAGACAGCCATCAACCATTCATGAATTGAATAAAGTTTTTGACAATTTCAAAGGTTGAAATAATCAAGTTTTAACACGTTAACAAACACAGGGAATTAAGAAATCAATTTGTCAACTTCGAACTGCTTCTCTTCAACTTGACGACCTCTTCAATTGCATGTATGTGCGTGTGTGTATATATAAACACGATTTCACTCCAGTTACTAGTAAGTAGCACACTTGATAAACAAAAAACAAACATGGGACTCTTTGGAAGAAAATTCAAGGCATCAAAAGTTACAACACTGGCTAACCTTGCCATCTCAAGGATTTCCATTCTGAAAAAACAACACCAAGTTAGGTGCTCACTTTCCCGTTCTGATGTTACTCAACTACTAAATCTTAGTCGCCAAGAAGATGCTCTTCATCGAGTAAGTTCCCAAAATATACCCCATTCCATTTTCCTCTTCTCAACTCAAGCAATATCACTACTGATCATTTTCACTCATTAACAGGTCGAACTTGTTATCAAGGAACAGAACACTGTAGATGCACTTACAATGATGGAAAAGTATTGCCATCTCCTAATAGAAAAAAAGGTGCTCATAAAAACTAAAGGGTGAGTACTACTTACTTGTATATATCTTGTCAAAATCTGCAACTAGCGAGATTGGGGCATCTCTCTGACAATGTGCTCGCGAATGTTTAAACAGGGAATGTCCTGAGGAGCTAGCAGAGGCAATCTCAAGCTTGATTTATGCAGCTTCAAGATGGGGAGAATTCCCAGAGCTACATGAACTTCGTGAGATTTTCACCTCAAGATATGGGAATGAATTTGCAGCTCAATGTGTTGAATTAAGAAATAATTGTAGCGTGCAGCCAAAGGTAGGACAGCTAACTTTATTCTCTCGTCCCTAAAATCGACAGTAGATTCATGACTTCTCAAACTAATCTGATCATGAAAATTTCTCCAGATGATACCGAAGCTATCAAGACATCACACAGGGTCAGGGAAAAGACGCGATATGCTTAATGATATTGCTGCTGATTGTGGTATCAATCTGTGTGCAGAGGATGAGACTTGTCACATATCACAATCAAAGCCAGAGGTTAACAGTGAAAATGAATGTGCTAAAGGTATTTTCTTGACTATTTTTAATGGCAATCACTACTTATGAGTGAAGCTTCAGATTCTTACTTCATAAAAAAAGAAGATTGAAACTTCAAATGACATGACATTATTTTTTTTTACCATTACAGGTGAAGAGGGATCTTAACAAGGCATAAAAGCAGATTCAGTGATCATATTGAAGGGTAGTCAGATAGTACATAAGAACTGATGCTTCTCCTATCAGCAGCAGCAGCACTACTAGCAAGACTTTTTTGGATCCATCCAAGTCTACTAAGGGATGGTTGACTGACAAGCATCTTTGCAATCATGTAACCATAACACATTCGCCAGGAAAACAACGATAGAGCAGCTGCATGTTCAGGGATGAACTGCTACCTTCATATTCTTTTCTTAGCTAGGAATTTGCTTGTGTGTATGTTGGGGAGTGGGGGGTTGTTGAAGACAGAAAAATACAGGTAAATGTAGATCAGTAAGCAATTACATATGTTCTGCAGAAAACATGAGATACTACATTTATTACATCCCCAATAATAAATAACTTATGCTCCCTACAAATTCTTTAAGATTCAATTTTTTATCGAAAAAAATAAATTCAACTCTGTCAAATTTTTCATTTTTGGAGTAGTTACGAAATCTCCAGGAATAGGATTTCTTATTCCATGATATATATTTTTTAAAGAAGTCCCCGATACCTACAGTGGTATGCGATTAATTCCTAAGATCCATTAAAGGGGAAGTGCTCCCTACCAATTCTTTTCCCACAGTTAACAGGAATAATTGGGTAAAGAAGTCACTAATCTGATCTTGTAGCATTCATTACCATTTAAATTATAACTTCTTGATCATCAATCACCATGCTGATTATTAAAAATGAATGCGTCTTAATCACTTTACTACACATTGCTTTTAAATCTATATTAAAAAAGAGTCTTTCAACCTATATAAGCTTGAAGAAAAGGTTAATCAATCAGTAATATAGCCAAATACGTCTAAATTTCATTCCATGCCAAAGAAATCAATCATGCTACTTGAAAACATTGATATACTTTTGTAGGTCCAACCTTGTTTTTTCTGTTTATTTTGGGATTACATAATAAGAAATGCTATATCTCAATAATCCTTAACCTCACATGAATTCAATTCTCAAAACATAAATTGTATTTCCCCAACACAAATATCGCACCATACTAGCCATTAGGGATTGCCCTGGATTTTCAGCTCCAAATGACAAGGAACCTATCCTAGGCAACGATCAAGCGACTCTTCCTTCTGATGCACTCTGTTCTCTCGATAAAATCAGCTTTTTTGTGAACACTAGACACAAATTCCGCGTATGAATATGGTAACTATGAATCATGTAAAAATAACTTGGCTGAATAGGGCACAGATTTTTGGCTCCTCATCCTAAAGTTTTAAGGTGAGATGGAAAAATACAAGCAGCGGTTAAGACCATGCTTCGACATGATACTTGCCTGCCTTTTCCAATGCCCTAAGCCACCTGACTGCAGCTTCCTTTGGAACCCCGCCTTCTTTAGATACAATTTCTTCAAATGCCAACAGCACATCAGAAGGCATTTTATTGGCAGAGCCTGCGACATACACAGCTGCCCCCTCGGTTAATAGATTCCATATCTTAAAGCTTTCTTCTCTCATTTTATGCTGCACATAAACCTTCTGTTGCTGGTCTCTGGAGAAGGCAACAAAAAAGCCGCCACCTTTTTCTTCAGAAAGGACTCCCCCCTTTTGTGAATGAAACAACCAAAAATCTCGGTATAAGAAGTCATTTTCTTCATTTCTACAACCAAAGAAGAAAAGAATGGGAGCAGTAGGACCGGATTGACTCTGAAGGGCTCTTTCCTCCACAAATCCACGAAAAGGTGCACACCCTGTGCCAGGTCCAATTAGAATAAGAGGAAGTGAAGGTGGAGGGGAAGGAAGAGAACCTTTTTGAAACCATGCCGGTATGAGGCCACCTGTTTGACATAATCCAAAAACCATCATCAATGAGTTACAAGAGGTAAATGAATTAGGCATTGTAATTATAAATTACTCCAATAACCATACTTTTCTGAGGATCAAGTTCAGCTAGCCATGACGAGCAAAGACCCGTGCGCTTCCTCTTATAAGGTGTTGTCCACGATACCACACTAACAGTTAAATGCACTTGGTTTGGATGAGCTGAGTGAGAAGAAGAGATGGAAAAAGCCCTAGTTTTTAGTGGAGGTACCAACTGAACCAACCATTCAAAAGGCATCTGAACGGATGGAAAATCATCCAATACCTGCAATATAATATGGAAAATAGAAAAATATCAAGCAGTGTAATAAAATGAGGCATTATCAGCAGAAACATTTTACAAGTGTGGGTCAGCTTGCATGAGAAGACATTATTATTTAGTAGAAGGATCATTCTATAGGAGAAAGATCAAGTGCCTACATGTTTTCCAAAACAAAAACGTGGAGTCTGTAGCTTTTTATCCCATACTTCAACTAAAAATAGTGTTGGCTACCTAACTAACATATCAAGCTTTCATTGCTTGCAAGTAAAGGGACTAGTGGAAGATGTGCTCATTTCCAGATTTCACATTTAGAGTCTGATAAATTACTAGACCAAATATCAACTCGAGCTATTTTCTAATTTGACAATCAAGATGCTGTAATGTGAATGCATGACAGGGTTAATGTTGGCTAACCAGTTTTGCTTCCAAAAGAACTGGGCCAACTTCTTGCTTCTTAGTATGTCTTCTTAAACTATAGTACCTATACATTCCATGAAACAAAATCTACCATAAGAGAAACCATATTATTGAAGAACCCAACAGTAAGGGAAAATGTCAATGACCACTCCGAGGCAACTTCATTAATCTATACAAAGAGTGGAAATATTTTCATTACCTCCAGTACAGTTCTACGTTCCTTCTGATTGTACTCATAAAGATCATCTCTTCCTTCTGGTGAAGCAAAGTATTGAAGCCTCTCCTTCTCATGTTCGGCAGTAGCAAAATAACTCATAACCTGAAGAAGTCAACGATCCAAATGGCTTATCAAATTACTATGATATGTGGTGATCATGCATAACATGCTATTCCCCAAGCAGCAAAAAATAGATGAACACAAGATGCATCAGTGAAGTCTAGGCACATAACAAAGACAACAGCAGAAGATATTAATTATACAATGTCATGGGATATTACTCATAAGAACAAATAAGAAATTCAGACATTCCATGGCTTACCTCAAAGAAATATCGTCTTGGGGAAGCTGATGCAACATCCATTGCCAGTTCCACAAAAGTTTTCAATCTTACAGGGACCTTCAATGTATTTCTCAAATCATAACTTTGTTCATTTTCTTTATTATCATTAACCTGAACCTGAAAAAAATGTTCATATAGTAATATAAGAATTGAAGAGTTCCTTTCTTTGAGTTTTAACTATCACTTTCGTAACAAAAGTCCTTTTAACTC